TAAAAAAAATAATAATCTGAACAATAAAGATTTAATTAAAAAAATAAAAATTAAAAAAAAAGAAAAGAATCAACAAAGCCCTAGCTGGTTTGGCTACAGCGGACAGAGCGTCAACCTGCGGACTGAAGAATCCCTGGTTCAATTCCAGTTAAGGGCACATGCCCAGGTTGTGAGCTCAATCCCCAGTAGGGGGTGTGCAAGAGGCAGCCAATCAATGATTCTCATCATTGATGTTTCTCTCTCTCTCTACCTCTTTCTTCCTCTCTGAGATCATAATAAATATATTTAAAAAAAAGAATCAACAAATGAAAATATAAGTAAGTAGATAAGTGGAACAACAAACCCTCCGCTTCCTTCCCTCTCTCTGTCCCTGCCTCCCTCCCTATCTCTCTCTAGAAAAAAAAAATGATATTAGTAAGTAAAAATTTAAAAAACTAGTTACCTTGAAAAATGTCTATTTAGGTCCTTTGTCCATTTTTTAATTGGATTGTTTGTCTTCCTTTTGTTAAGTTGTATGAGTGCTAACCCCTTATCAAATATATCATTGGCAAATATGTTCTCCCTTGCAGTGGGCTATCTTTTCATTTGTTGATGGTTTCTTTTGCTATGCAAAAACTTTTTATTTTGATGTAGTCCCATTTGCTTATTTTCTCCTTAGTTTCCTTTGCCCTAGGAGATGTATTGGTAAACGTATTGCTACAAGAGATGTCTCAGATTTTGCTGCCCACAGTTTCTTCTAATACTGTTATGATTTCACGACTTATATTTTAAATATTTTATCCATTTTGAGTTTATTCTTTTTTTAATATATTTTATTGATTTTTTTACCGAGAGGAAGGGAGAGGAACAGAAAATTAGAAACATCGATGAGAGAAAAACATGGATCAGCTGCCTCCTGCACATTCCCTACTGGGGATGTGCCCGCAAACAAGGCACATGCCCTTGACTGGAATCAAACCTGGGACCCTTCAGTCTGCAGGCCGATGCTCTATCCATGGAGCCAAACCGGTTGGGCCATTGAGTTTATTCTTATACAGTGGGGCCTTGACTTATGAGTGTCCCGACTAACAAGTTTTTTGAGATACCAGCTGTCTCTCGGTCGATTTTTTGCATTGAGTTGATAGAGTAATTTGAGTTAACGAGCTCCTTAATGAGCTCGGTCTCGGAACAATTAAACTCATAAGTCAAGGCCCCACTGTATGTGGTATACATTGGTGATCTAGTTTCATT